TATCTTCCCATTCAATTATTGTACATAAGTATTGTATACTTTTAATCAACGTGACCATAGCTTGGCATAATCTTATCCATATTTTACATTGGTTCTATAATTGTTATGTTAGTGGTCTTCTCATTATTCATTTACAGTATTCATTCATTTTTCTACAATTATTTATCAAACATCTACCATGTGTTATTCTAAGTCATAGGAATGCACTGCCAAACAAAACAGAGTTTTTTACAGAGTTTTCAACATTCTCATGTGTGCACAGTTTATATGTAATCATTCACTGAATTTTTCTGTTATGCAGTATAAGTCTTTGAGAGGAGAGCATTTTATATATATATATCCCCTATTGTATTTTCTCTATTTCGATGTTGTTCAGTAAACTGACTTTCCAAAAGAAGATGAGAAAAGTGAAGGGTATCTTGTGTATATGTATACACATACACACACACATATCTGTATCCTAGTGAGTCGAAACAAGAAATTACTTAGCTGACTTATCAGGATGACAGTTCAAAGTACAAATCAAATTAGACTTGTGTTTTCAATAATAAATTAGTTTCCTATTTCATCTTGAAATGCAATATAAAGACATAAGAACTTTCATATAGGAAACTGTACCTCTATACTTTCTTAGCCTATCTGAAAAATGGTCCCTTAATCCCAAGACTTATATCAAATTTGTAAAACCTATTTTTAAAGGTTATACAAAGCCATAAGATGTTTCTATTAAAAGATACTATTGTTTATGAGAATAGTATTTTGATTATTCACTTAAATTATAATGACCTCATTCGTATCCCAGTTTTCTCCTTTTCTTTCTTTGTTTTGCAATACATAAATATGTTCAGTACCTCTATGCAGAGAGATAATAGTTAAATCTGCTTGTCTTCCTGCAGTTGCTGGTATCAAGTTTGCATAAAAGTTGCTTCTAGCAGTTTTCTGAATATACAACACGAGTTTTATTTCTTCCATGTGAGATTATTACTACAAATTTCACTTGTTTCTATTTTTATAAATAATTCTCCATTAATTTTTGAACATAAATCTTTCTTTAATTTCTCATAAAGTTTAGAAGTAATATTAAAAGTTTCTAAAGTATGAGCACTTTGGGGATCCTTGATACATATTGCTAAATTTCTCCAACATGTTTTCGGCGGGCTAGATGAAGCTAGGTTCATTTTTATGACCCCATACTCTAACTTATAAATAGCTTCATATCTATTTGACTTTCCTCATTACAAAATCATTAAGTTACTGGTGGGAAAGCCTAACAGGGCAATCAGGAGTGGCGACTAATCATTTTCATTTCAACTGTGCTTCTTGTCCATTTTGCTAAACTCTGTCTTATTTAACTCATTTGAGTCTTGTGATCAAAGGACCATTTTTTTTAGCGTCAGCTCATTTAATATTTCTATATTTTTGAATAAAATATTTAAAATCATATGTAGTCCACATTAATTTCTCTCTATTCCCTTTATATATATTCATTCAATTATTTATTTAAAGACCAACCGCTTAACATGTAGCAGGAACCACGGGGTGCTATAGATTCAGTGCTACAAAAATAATCATAGATCTGAATCTAAACTTGTTTGAGAACTTCCTGTTCAATCGCTTTTAGTACCTTCCCTTTCTTGCTATCAGTACTGAAACCAGTGACATCACCAGAATTGCATTTTAGCGATTTCCAAACCTCTTGAGTCTTGACTCTCATTGAGATAGTCACACAGACTCAACTATCTTTCAAAACATCTTCTTTAGGTTACGTGCCAAACTATAGCTAGTTTTTGTTTTCTTACCTTTCATAAACTCTAAATAAAGGGATTTCTCTTCAGTTTGTCAACTAATCCCTTTTCCATATTTCTGCATCTCCAGATGCCCCAAAACTCACACTACATGGTTTGGTGGTTTGTATTAGCACTGTTCTGGTTTCTTCTGTCTTTTGACAGGAAATTAGCACGTGGCCCTCCGGTGCTTCTGACATGGGAGGAAAAGGAGGGATATAGGGTCATAAAAATATTCCAAGTTTTGGATTCTGAATTATCTGCCTCTTCTATCACTTCTTTTTTGTCTAAGTGATTCGGAACCATCCAGGTTAGAATTAATATTTACCTCAACACTGCTATGAAGAACTTGGACTAAAGTAAAAGTTTTGGGTAAGCTTTGAGGAGACATTCCACATCTATTGGTCTAACAAATATTTTGATGGGCTCTATTATGCTTCAAACACTGCAGTAGGTACTAGCATCTGCTTCACCTGCTTACTGGAAGCATAGCAAAGTTGTTCTTTCATTACTAAGTATCTTTCTGTTATTAAATCTAAACATAGACTTGGTTCTATTGCTTGGTAAGTTTTCATATTCATTTTACCATAATGCATACTTTATCATGACTTCCAAGTTTCTAAGGCAATGGAAAAAATCTGGCTAAAGAAAGTTAGTTGCCGGGCGCGGTGGCTCAGACCTGTAATCCGAGCACTTTGGGAGGCCGAAGTGAGAAGATTTCCTAAGCTCAGGGGTCCGAGTTCAGCCTGGGCAACTTGGTGAGATCTCATCTCTACAATAAAATAAAAAGTTAAGCCAGTCATGGTAGCACGTGCCTGTAGTTCCAGCTACTTGGAAGGCTAAGGTGGAAGGATCACCTGAGCCCAGCCGGTTGAGGCTGTGATGGCCGTGAGCACTTCACTGTACTTCAGCCTGGGCGACAGAGTGAGATTCCAACATTAAAAAAAAGTTTGTTGTTCACAATTGTTTAAAATTAATATACAATTTTATTAATGAAATGTTTAGCACAGCACAGTACCTGGCTCAGTAAAAAGCATTTAATAAATGTTGACTCAGCCGGGCTCGGTGGCTCAGCCTGTAATCCCGCGCCTTTGGGAGGCTGAGGGGAGTGGATTGCCTGAGACCGCGGGTTCGAGACCCGCCTGGGCAGCGAGACCTCATCTCTACAATAAATAAAAAAAAAAATCAGCCGGGTGTGGTAGCGCATGCCTGTGATTCCGGCTACTCGGAAGGCTGAGGCGGGAGGATCGCCGGAGCCCAGCAGGTCGAGGCTGCGGTTGCTGGGAGCGGCCGCTGCACTCCAGTCTGGGCGACCGAATGAGACTCCAAATCAAAAAAATAATAATAATAATAAATGTTGACTCATTTTAATATTATTAAACTATTAAATTTTCTAATTTGATAACAATGAAAGTTTCAAGTATTAAGTGTAAAAATATTAAAACTAATTAATTATTTCCACCCAATAAAAATGATGGAACTGCTTTTTTTTTATTTTAGTGTATTTCCTCAAATCTCAGTATTCAATAGAATAAAGTACGCCACAAGGTTGTCTTCATTTCATAGACTTCAGACAAGAAAAGTACATCAAATCCTGTGGTTAGCGTTGCATCCCAATTAAATTCTGATTAAAGTGTATCTACTCTGTTCTCAAAATTGACAAAAAATCCATTCTGTGACTTCTGTGAGATGATTGAAAGCCCTTATATTTGGAAAGAGTTCTTTCTAATTTTTAACATTAATATTCCCTGTTAATACTGAAGACTTTTTTCCTTTTTGAAATGAAATTCACTGATTCCTTATAATTCTTTTAATACATGTTTACATATTTGAGGACATTTCAAGTTCTCCATGTTCCTTTTAAGACATAAAAAAGATGAAGCATCTCATTTATTAGATTGGGAACAAAGCTGTTGTATTATTTTGCCAGTGACAACAGTTATAGAATTTTAAAACTAATGGCACTCATTGCATTACTGGTGTGTTTAGGGAAAAACAGAGTCCACTTGACCTGTAATACAGGATGTACATTATTTTACAGCAAGGATAGAAATCAAGCACTACATGAGGAAAAATGTGTGTGCTAGCTCAAAATGGTAAGAAAAATTGTGCAATAAGTAAGTTATTATTTTTAACCTTTTTAAAAAATAGGAAGAAAATGAGGGGATAATTTTTTACTTGACATTGACAAAGTAAGCTGCAACTAAAGGGAAACCGTGTATCATATTAGAAGCAGCATATGGACTTATCATAAACATTACTGATAGTTCTGATGTCGCCAATACGCATTCAATTTGTGAGTGGACAAAGAAATTAAATGAGGGAAGAATGAGAATGAGTGTGAATTATGAGTTGCTGGAGAGCGGGAACTCCCCTTATTCATCAGTGTATACCCAGTTTTATGACATCAAGTGGATGCTCAATAAATATTTCCTGGGATGCCAGCAGGAAAAGTGTAAACAGACCCAGAGCTCTGAACTGATAAGCCTGGGCTGCTACTACTATACTGCTACTATACTATCCTCCTGGTTCCCACAACACTTGAATTCTTCCAGCCTTTCTTCTGTTTTCCATTCCCATTATCTAATTACTTTCCTTCTTTTCCCACTACATGTTACCAAAGCAAGCCCAAGTATTGCTGCTAAGACGTTTGACTATGTAACAGACCACAGTAGGCATGGGTTTATTGCAGTCAGTTTCATTCCACCCGTCATTCTACCCGCTATGATGACATCTCTTCTTTCATTGTGTCCATTTATTTTCCTATCTCTGTTCCATTTCTACTCTGAGGCATAAATTATCAATGCTAACTAATTAAAAGCATAAAAAGTGAGATGTGCTTATGATGTAATTTTTCATGCTATAGTTTTTATGTTTTACGCACATGTAATTTGTGTATAAATAGATACATTACATGAGTATATATTTTCATTTTATTACATCTTTTCATATAATTAAAATAATGAAAATGCTTTTCTGAAACATTTTCTTCCAAAATTTAGTATAGGAGTTCATATATTAAAATTTCATTTTGTAATAATTTGACATCCAAAATAAAAATATAACAACTATTTTTTAACTTAGAGGAGTGTATTCTTGTGGATTTAATAAAATTGTTACAGAAATCTTTTATTTTATCTGTAGGTTATTATATATTTGTACTGGTATGTAATATATGGACGCACATTCCATTTTAATTTATTTTATATTTTGAAGGGTCACATGATAGCATCCTGCGATGCCTGTGGGGTTTTAAAGCTATGGGACTTCCGGAAGCTCTTGCCAATTGTGTCTATCGACGTAGGTCCAAGTCCTGGCAATGAGGTGAATTTTGATTCGTCAGGTAGGATCCTTTTGGTTTAACATTTGTGACTAAGCTAGCGATGTTAGTATTTATTTGTTCTGAAATTACTTTGCTTCTACTTGCATTTGTGTATTTCCTTTTATGCAAATTTCTGTTCTTATTATATTATGTTATATTTTCTCATATTGTATATTTTTCATGTCACCATGAAAGAATTATATTTATCATATAGCTAAAGACTGAAGTAATAAAGGAGATAGTGTGTGCTAACATAGATAGCATAGATTTGCTAACAGTGCTATGCAAAACCATGGAGTCTACATTGTTTAGAATCATCATTCAAGGTAAGCATTTTGGATTTTCTAAAGACAAAATAGCTGAGAGTAGAAAAGAACGAAAATTGCCAGAAACAAACATGAAACATTTTTAATGGAATATTTTAGTGTTAATGCAATTTAATAAATTACCCCGTATTGTCTAGATTTGAAATATATTCATCTAGTTACAATTATGTGCTCTACATTCTATAGCATTATTATCGATTCTGTTTAACTTTTTTCCCACATATAGTATTTTATTCTTGCTGCTGGAGAATAATGTAGCAACTGATGTTAACAATCATACAAAATGATTCCAGTTGACCATTTAGAAGGTTAAAAATACAACTGCAACTTCATCTTTAAATGTTAACCTTTGCTAAGTAAAGAATGTACACATATTATTGGATAATGTATTTTTTTATTTGCTAGTGTGATATATGTTTTTAACTTATTTTAAGTTTTAAGAATTTTTGAAATCTTTGAGAATTATTTGTGATAAATCAGCTGTGGAGATATCAAAAATTTTTATTTTAAATAGGGAAATAAAAAATGTATATGAAGAAAATGTTTTACTTTGAAAAATAGTCCCTATAAATTCTGCAGTCCAGAAAGTATGAATATACCAGGGGAATAATTCTAGAACCATAATTGTTATTGTTTTCTTGGGACTTGTTTCATAATATTGTCATTATCTATCTAAAACTTAGAAAACAATAAGTTTGTCTTATTAACAAATTCTAAGTTATATCCCCATTTTAGATTAGTATATGAACCACACTAATAACAATCGCTTCTTTAAGAATGTTTTTACCAATATTTTTGTCATTGAGACATTTATGGTCTGACAGAATTTAAAAAGAAAACATTGCTCAAAATAAAAGATCTCCACTATAAGCATTTCATTTTTCACTAAGAAAACCTGTCAACAATTTATAGCTTCTAATATATAAAATCTACATTGACATTATAGCTCTAAAGGAACTTTAACTTGGTTTTCATAAACATTTCATGTCCTTAAATTCCTTCTTATTATCTTGAGCTAGCATTCAAGTATTGATGTCACTTAATTTTCAACTCTGAAATTCATAGCTTTTGGCTGTACTTTCTTTTTTTTTAATTTTCAAATTTTTTATGTGGGATACAATTCAGGGTTAGGTATACAAATGTTCATTATGCAGGTACCCTTGTTAACGAGGTGTGCCCCGCCCCCCAGCAGTTTTCTACTACTGTCAATCCCGCCCGCCAACCCCAGTCCCCTGGCAGTTTCCCACTGCTGCTAATCCCTTTCTTAAAGTATTATGATAATTGTTCAAGGTCCACTTATGAGTGAGGACAGGTGGTATTCAGTTCTTTGTTTCTGTGATAGATCACTCAGTATTATAGACTCTAAGTCCATCCAAGTTGCTGCAAAGTTCAATAATAGAAGTTAAAAGAGATTTTGAAATGCGTACAACTAATAATAGCTACATAATATATTGTAATTATTAAATATGTTGACATTTGTTATTTATCATTCTTGTTATCCAGCCTAAAAGTTCTTTGCATGTTCAGGAAAACATGACTTTAAATAGGTATCAGTACCTATCTTCCATCATATAAGCCAATATGATGTTAAAGTTCTTGGTACAGCAAAACTATTTTTTTCTCTCCATGGCTGTAATATACTTGGTAATACATTAATTTTAAGAAAAGTGCGAGAATCAGTGGTAGAGCAATGAGAAATATAAAAGAAAAAGAAAGTAAACTAGGAACCCTATTAATGAAAACACTTTGACAGTCTGAGGGAAAATAACTTCAACCTGACCTTCTCATCCCTTTGATCATTTCTTTAAGGAACATGCCATAATTAATTTTAATTCAGTCTGCTTGAGAAATTAATGTCATAAAGCTTTTCTTACTGAATAATGAGAATCTGTGTTACTATACAGGACAAGTCTTCAATGACTCCTCATTTTAAAAGGTTGGAATATACCAAAAATTGAAGAAACTAGGGAAAGCAAATATAAGGTCTAATGAGAGTATAAATAAAGAGGTGAAAAATCAGAGTTAAGTAACAGAAATTATGTCCACCTGGAGAGAGTAAAGAAGAGTGTGAGCCAAAAGCAAAACAAAATTTAAAAAAAAATTGTGATATGAAAGTATTTGGAATATGAGAATAAAATCAAATTTAACTTACTAATCTCAAAATACACATTCAGCTGAATATACCTTTTTTATTCCCAGTGGCAAGCTATAGAAGCCTCTACAATATAATCATTTTCCAAAAAAGCAAGAGTCGATTTACACACTATTGCTAATAATGAACACTTATTGAGGGCTCACTTTAGGTATGTTTTCTGGTGAAAATTTAGCAGTAGAATTAAATAGTGCAGTTATATGCACCCCGTGTATTATCTGTCACAACTTAACTAACATGCACAAGGCCGTGGTCAGCCATCTTAGCTGTGTTCTTGGATCTGAGGAAAAGTCATGGAAAACATACATGACTTGCGATACTATCACAATATTACCTAATACATGTGGAAGTATGGATGGCATATTGTCTGAGATATTATATACAATAAATGTGAGTAGTCAAAAACTTTAGGTGATCATTATAGAAACAGAAATTTCTAATCACATTTTCCATCTCCATCAGGTTAACTCAAGGACACCTTGAAGTTATGAGGTGTGCTATTTAAAAAGAACTTTTTCCATATACAATTACTTATCTCTATAAATAAGGCATGTCTTATCACTGCAAATCCAGGAGTATAGAAATAAATTAAAAGTGGAGGCTGTTAAAAGGCTGAAACTTGTCCATAACCTTTAATTTCAAATTTTTATGTATATAAAAACTGTCTCATTGTTTATTAATCTCATAAGTAAATATTTTTAATTTGAATTGATAAAAGTATATATATACTAAAAATGATACCTTATCTGTTTTAACATTGTTTCCTCAAAGCATATCATTTTCAGAAGATAACTAAGACAAAAACATTTTAAGACCAGAAGTATAGAAAAGGAATGCACACTATAATGCGAACCCTTAGGTTTAATCACATGTTCAGCACCTTTTAGACTTTAGGCAAATGATTTAGCCTTCCAGAGCTGTTTCCTCATAGAAATAACAGAAGCAATAATCGTCTTTCAGTGTTCTGACTTGGATTCAAAGGTGTAATGGTATCCTATAATATAGAACTCAGAACACAGTCATTGACCCTGTTTTATCCTAGAGGTGGAAAGTGTCTAAGAGGCCATCTCATTTGTTTTAGGGATGAGAAAAATGAGTCAAAATGTTGATGTGCCAGAAAGATGCCTGAGGCTAGGTGCCATTTTGGGAGGCTTTAGAGAAAGCATAAATAACAACAGATCGAGAAACAAGGATCAAAACCTCATTTTCATGTAATATTAAAAATAATTTTCATGTATTAAAAGTAATTCAAATAATACTTAAAATATACGAAGATACGTGACTCACCATCTAGAGTTTAGTTTTTCTGTTACTGTAAGAAATCAGTCTCTCATATTTAAAAGAGGAGTTATATCTGACATTGCATCATTTACATAATGTTTTATTTAGCAAATACATTGCTTGTGACAAACAGATTATTTGTGTTAATAGATATATACATATATTAGTATGTATTTATAACTCATGTATTTGTAAAGCGATAAGTGTTCCTTTCTCATTAAACAGAGAGCCTTCTGGTAATATAATGCTCCAAACTTTTTGTGAATATTCACTATTTAAATAATATTTCTCACTTGGCATACTCAAATGCCATGTTTTATCATTCAAAAATGTATTGCTATCTTAGGAAATGTTAAATGGAATTGCATGGTGAAATTCATAAAAATGAACTGTAAGAATGTACAGACACATTTGCACATATCCCATTTTACCATGTTTATATAGTGTAGCAATATTATCCTATCCCTTGTATGAGGTAATCCCAGTAAATTTGCAAAGAAGTCACATCCCTAGAAAACGCAGAAGCTGAAGTTTGAGCCAGATGGAAACTTTCCAGTGGAAAGCTTGTCAGTATCAGATCATTAAAATGGGCAAAGTTTTCCTCCATTTGGAGAAAATTCTAAATATTCTCCACAGGCAGAATCACACAAAAATGCTATAACAGTAGAGAAAAACAACTCCATTAAAAAATACAAAAATTATCAGACCCCCAATTTTTTTTATAATATTACAAGAGAACCCCAAAGTCTTTGGCTCCAGCTTGATTTATCCTTTTCTTTTAGTAAAGATGACAGTTTGTATTTAAAAGACAGATTGTGGTTAATTCCCTCTGATGAAAGCGGTGTAGTGTAAGGGGGAGAGTGCTCTTTCAGACGTTAGAAGCACAGGTTTTAAATTTTCTCTCCATTACTTACTAGGTGAATGATTGAGATGAAATTGCCAAACATTTCTGAGCCTTGGGACTCATTTAAAATTTAAAATAATAAAAATAATTTAAATAAAACAACTTAAATAATAAAAATCTATAGAAACGTCCACTTCCAGCCAAGATGGAGTACCAGAGACCAACCAGGTTTACTCCCCATCGGAAACAGCTGCAACAAACAAACCATATGAGCCAACAGTTTTCAGACATTTGACATTTGCCAATAAAAACACAGTCCAGCCTAAAAGAGGGGAGATAAACAAAGTGAGCACCATGACTTCCCCAGAATACTGCCTAGAGAAAGTGTCTAGTTCTCAACTTAGGGATGGACAAACTCTTGGCAGACTCCCAGGTTTG